GTGATTTCAGCGTTTGTTGCATGATGTGATGGATATATTTGTGGTTCCATTTGTCCATTGAGCAGTGTCCCACTCATAATAATGTAAATTAAACCAAGCTGATGAAATGTTATTCAAGAAATATTAACAATAATTATTGGAACTAAGTGCAAACCTATATTTACTTGGCTCTAGCTATCGTCGTGTTTGTCCAATACAGAACTTCTATGGTAGAGAGTAGTAAAATGCAAACAATTTGGAATTTTCTTTTTCTTTGGTAATGTAACCTAATAGCAGTGAATTTATTTTTTTCAGTCATCTAGAATTGTTGATAGATCAGGCACAGAATTTTCAGAGTGATATACCAAATGAATTGCCTGACTGGGAATTATTCTTCAGAGAATTATGAGCTTGTCAGGTGTCCTGCATATTACCCGGGTTATTGATTTGATTAATTCTATGCCACAAGACTGTGAGGAGAAAATTAACAAATGCTATTAAATTGATGTTCACATTTACTGAAAAGAGGTAGTAAAAGGGCAAGCTTTGACATTTAGCTAAATGACTGTTTTTAAATAGTTGGGATTCTTAATTGTGTCGTAGAGTCATACAGCACAGAGACAAGCCCTTTGGTCCAACCAGCCCATATCGACCGTGTTCCCAAACTAAACCAGTCCCACTTGCCTGCGCTTGGCCCATATTCCTCCAAATCTTTCCTATTCATGAACTTATCCAAATGTCTGTTAATTGTTGTAACTGTACCTCCATCCACCATTTCCTCTGACGGTTCATGCCACACATGACCATCCTCTGTGTAAAAAAAAATAAAATAAATAAATAAATAAATAAAGTAGCTCCTCATGTCCTTTTTAAATCTTCATTTTTTAATCAGAGTACTAGACATTTTGTATTAGAAAACCAGCCTTTGAGGAATTTTTTGATTACTTAAAAGACCTCCAAATATGGGCTCTGTTTGATGTTTAAATCATGATTTGATTCTACTTAGGTGGATTGTGGCAGTTTGCATTCAATGTGAAATTTTACCCTCCGGATCCTGCCCAGCTCTCAGAGGACATTACCAGGTGAGTGAAAGATTGTTTCTTGTAGTATTTAACAGTGGCGAATAGTGTGGTCAAATTTTTGTTTTTTTTTTGTGTATATACTCTTCCCAAAGACATCTCTATTCACAAGTGTGTATGGTTGTTCAGTGGTTTTGTCATGATCTAACTTGAACATCTGAGGATCGCTGTTGACCAGAGATTTCAATGAACCGAATATGTAAGTGTGATGGCTATGAGGCAGCCTGAGGCTGAATCTCATCTGATGAGTGGTTTCCTTCCTGACTTCTCAAAGGCTTTCTGTGTCAACAATGAGATGCGATATTCTTTATTTGTCTGGATGAGTGTAATTTCGGCATTCGAAGGAAGAAATAATTGACAGTCCATCTCAAACGTATACTTCTTCCACCACTAATGTACAATACTGTTATGTACCATCTGTAGAACAGACTTAAGCAACTTGTGATGGCTTCTTTAACAGCATCCCCAAAATAATTAAGTTACCAGTGCTGTCCATTGCTGCCTGACAGTGTGCTTCCATGTTGTATTCATGCATCACATACAGTCTGCCTCATTTAGATTTTGGAGTTTTTTTTGTACACTTGTTCCTTTTCAAAAGAACTTTTCAATAATAATACAATTTTCCTTTTAAGTAATCAATCCAAGCTTCCAGGCACTTGATTTATGTTTGTGGGGGTGTCTCAGAATGTGTTAATTCTTGCAGGGGTTCTTCCAGGCAGAAATGAGTGAACACGACTGTTTTGTGCAACTTTCAGCCTTCAGAACATGTTGTCATTTCACTGCATTGCAGTTGAATTCCACAGTATTCTCGGCGAGCACAGATTATTCATTCTATTCCATTACCTTCCACTTCTGTAGCCTGGAAGAGTGCTGATGTAAGCAGCTTTGGATGAGCAAAGAATGCTGAAAGAGTATGCGTTATTCTCGAAGTGTTTAATTGGAGGATAACGAAGTGGTAGATGCAGTGTTTAAGCTCAGTCTATATATTAAAAAATTGGCAAAAGTATATGGTCAGGGTTCTCTACCTTTTTTGTATTAACCAGCTGCATACCTTTCAGTGTAGTGGGCAGCGACCTCTAACATCAAAAGGAGAAAACCTGACCTGAATATATCTGTTGAGAACTGGGGCATCACATCTGGTTCAAAATGCAAAGTTAACCAGCTTTTAAATAAATATTCTGAACTTATTTTATAGCTGCATTGGTCCCAAGGATTTGAATGGATAATGTTATTTTCTTGCTTTTATCCATGGTGCTGCCAATTTCTGGAGTTCTACTTTAGAATGCTAATTATTAGGAAAACCAATTGCAGTAAATTTCAAACAAAAAACATATAGCATATCTCACCCCAATATATCAGTGAATTTATCCAGGCATTAACTGAGCCAAACATAAACTTCAGGCTAAATCCAAGTTTGTATGCTGATATCAGCTGAGCTGCCATAATATCATTGTACTTTATCTGTCTTCTCCTGAGCTACAAGATAGGGAAAATCCGGTCTTTATATTCCCAAAAAGACTCCATGTGTGAAGTGAATGCTGTATTGGTCAGGTATGTACAAAATCTACCCCACGCAAATTGTTTTTTTTGTTCATGGAATGTGGCCATTACTGGCTGCCCAGCTTTTATTGCCTGTCCCTGGTTGCCCTGGAGAAGGTGGTGGTGAGATGCTGCCTTGAATCACTGCTGTCAGTTTGGTTTAGGTAGACCCCCACAATGCCACGATGGAGGGCATTCCATGATTTTGACCCAGTGGCACTGAAAGAATGGAGATGTATTTCTGCATCAGGATGGTGTGTGCCGAGAGCATGCACTTGTAGGTGGTGGTCTTGCAATGTATCTGCTGCCCTTGTCCTTCAGGAAGTTGTGGTTGTGGGTTTGAAAGGTCCTGTCTAAGGAGTCTTGGTAAATTTCTGCAGTGCATTTTCGAGATGATGCACGCTGCTGCTAATGAGCATCTGTGGCGGTGGGAATGAATGTTTTGGGATGTGATGCCAATCAAAGTAGGTTGCCTTATCCTGGATGGTGTCAAGCTTCTCGAGTGTTGTTGAAGCTACACTGATCCAAGTAAGTGGGGATATTCCATCACACTCCTGACCTGTGCCTTGGAGGTAGTGAACAGGCTTTGGGGAGACAGGAGGCGTGTTACTCACTAGATTGCTAGCCTGTGACCTGCTGTTGTAACTACAGTATTTATGTGACAAGTCCAGTTCAGTTTCTAGTCAATTGTAACTCCCCGAATGTTGATAGTCAGGCAATCATGTGATGGTAATGTCATTGAATGTCAAGGGGTGATGGTTAGATTCCCTGTTGTCAGAGATCATCATTGCCTGGTTTTTGTGTGGCACAAATGTTACTTTCCATTTGAGCCCAAGCTTGAATATTATCCACGTGTTGCTGCGCTTGGACATAGACTGCTTCGGTATCTGAAAAGTTAAAACTAGTGCTGAATATTGTGCATTCATTAGTTAATAATCCTACTTCTGACCTTTTGAGGGAGAGAACGTCATTGATGAAGCAGCTGAAAGTGGTTGGGGCTAGGCCTGAGGAGCTCCTGCAGAGATATTCTAGAGCTGAGATGACTGACTGTAATAACCACAACCATTTCACTTTGTGCCACCTCTGACTCCGAACCAGTGGGGGATTCCCGTTGATTGCAGCTTTGCTAGAGCTCCTTGATGCCATGCTCAGATTACTACGTTTAACCCATGGACAAATTGGTGCAGGGTAAATAAGGTCAAGGAGTTAAAGGGTATAGCTCAAAGATGGTATGGGTGGAATGGTTTCAGTTGATGGCACCAATACTGGGGTAGAAAGGAGTTGTTGCAGTGGGATGGGTTTCACTTGAACCATGCTGGGACCATTGTCCTATTGAATCGACTAAGTTAGGCTGTAGAGAGGATTTTAAATTCCCTCCCATACTTGCCACCTTGCTGGTTCCGCACTGGATCTTCTGACAGTAATCATAAGCCAACTTTCTCGATTTTTATTTTAATTTTTACATCCTATGGCATCCAAGGTACATTTACTTAAGGTGAGTTACCTTTTTCCTTCAAAAAAAAAAGTCTTGTGTTCATTGGAGCCATGTCTTTCTGAACAACCTCATTAGTTTGTTACTACTTTAGCCTGCATTGGCGTTTCTGAATGTACCTGAGCTAGGTTTTGCCTTTAATAATTTAAATTACCTCCTCTAAGTTGAGTATTTTTACATTTAGTTTTTTGTTCACTTTTCACTATAACTTTTTTAAGCTTCGAGCTACACGGTGCCCATTTGCAAGATGATCTCGTACTAAAACAATTTATCATTTCTCTTCAGTTCCAAAGAACATCATATTGGAATCCATGTTAATTCTGTTTCTTTTTCAATAAAGCTTGTCTGACCAGCTGAGTTTCTTGAGCACATTCTGTTTTTATTATTTTTGATTTTCCTTGCATGTTGAGGTAAAGATGTGTACACATCAGCAATTCCTCTCCTTTTATCTAAGCTTTTCCTACTCTACGCTGGTACAAAGAAAGTCTCCCAATATTACTAAAAGTTTCAGGCAGCAATGATTTTGGCATCAGTTGGCAATACTGTGACACAAGGCAAGTGAGCGAATGGGTCAGTGTGGCACAAGTTATACAACTGTGTAACAATGTTCCATATAAAATTATGCATGCACATTTATTTGACAAATTTAAGATCTGCCATTTATTTCTAGAATATGTTGGTCAAGTTCCATTAATTTTAAGTGGGAACTTAGAGTGACCCATGAATGCATTTGCATTTACCAAATTACAGCTTGAAAAATGTCAGTGAGAGAGTCTATTAATTATATCATTTCTAGACTTGTATAATTTTGTGAATTCACCATATCTTTTTAATATTTTTAAAGAACTACTCTAGATGTGACTCCCTAGCTTTATTGTCAAGTATAAGAAAATGTTTCTTCCAAACATGATTTTTGGAACAAAATAATTGTCAAAAAAAGCCGTGTCAACTAGTCATTTGAAAGCCACTACTTGGAAATAGTTTCCCTAGTTGTCTGGTGTGATGTTTCACTGGTCACCATTAGGGTTCTATTATTCCCACTCACATTTTATTATGCACTGCTTTACTGAGTAATGTGATGTATCTCAGGCACTAGGAAGTGCTCACAGAGTTACAACTGTGATAGTTTTTAAATTACTCCTTCAAGAAAAATGTCAGAATGGGATTTTCCTGATTTTTCTTGTATTCTGTCTATGCCATGTCAGTTCTGAAGTAATTTTAGGCAATGACAGCTACTTAAATCAAATCTCACACATTACTGTTGTTTATTTTTGTCTGGACTCCAGAGATTATTGGTTGCGTTTTGAATATGAGTTTGGTTAAGTGCAGCTTAGGCAGGAATGTGAGTTTTCAAGTACAAGTCTTGATTTTTAAAAACTTGGGTGTAACTTCTTATATCTGTGAATGCTTTCAAGAGTTAAATTTTATGAAAAGTGCCATGGTTTCGATAAGTCTCAAGTTTTGATGTGTTCTTTTTCTTAATGTAGGTATTACCTGTGTCTGCAGCTGCGCGACGATATTGTTTCTGGAAGATTGCCATGTTCTTTTGCCACACATGTACTGCTTGGTTCCTACACTGTTCAGGCAGAACTTGGGGACTATGACCCAGATGAGTATGGCACTGATTACATCAGTGAGTTTCGTTTTGCTCCAAATGAAACTAAGGAACTGGAAGAAAAAGTGATAGAACTGCACAAAAGCCACAAGTACGTGCATTGTTCATACATTCAAGTGTCAAATTTGGTGTTTTAATGTCGAACTGTTGCTTTTTATTTTAATCTGAGTTGTGAGGAAAGCTTGGACAGGCCTATGCTTGTTTTCCCTGGAGTTTAGAAGAGTGAAGGGTGATTTGATTTGAAGTTTATAAAATCATGAATGGCCTTGACACGGTGAATGTTGAAATGACATTTTCTCTTATGGATGAGTCCAGAGCTAGTGGATGCTGATCTAAAATTAGAGGTCAGCCTTTTAGACAGATCAGAACAAATGTATTTCTTTGAAAGTTATGCAATCTTGAAACATTTTATCTTAGAGCGCAATGGAGGTGGTAGTCATTGAATCTATTTCTGCCTTAAAAGTTCATTCTTGTGAGTTAGGGCAATCAAGGGGAGATGGGAGTATCAAATCTAGAACACAAACAGATCATCCATGATCTTATTGAATGGTGGAGCAAGCATGAAGGACTGAATGGCCTACTTCTCTTAATTCAGATATTAATTTATTAACAAATCCACAAATTCAAATATCTGAACATTTCTGGATTTACCTTGAGCAAGTGAACATGTTTATTATAAAAGTTAAATCAGATTATACTGAAAAATCCTAACTGTTCAGGAGCTGAAAATTAAATTGTAGCTTTGAAACTTTAGCTTTCAGCAGCATTTGATCTCTAACCAGCAACAGAAATTTGAATTGGACTTACTTAGAGATCTGTGTAAAAAGAATGATGACACATTATGAAGTTATTTTTGTATACATTATCAGTCAAATGTCAAGTTTTCAACACTTTCCTTTGTTCAGACACAGTTTTGTCCCCTGTGTAAACTGTCACCGTTACCTTTTTTTTCAAAAAATTCATTCCCGAGACACTGGCTTCACCAGCTAGGCCAGGATTTATTGCCATCCCTAATTGTCCAGAAGGTAGTTAAGAGTCAACCATGTCACTGAAAGAACAAACAAAGTTTTGAGCAATCCATCTTTTTAAAGTAACAAGCCATCTTTAGCTTCCCCTTCCTAATTAATATTTTCCCAGTTCCCTGCTCACCTCTTCTGAAATCCTTCCTCTCAGATACTTCTAGGCTTGCTGTTGCCTGGGGTCACAGCTCTGAGACTGCTCTGACCAAATTCATAACTGGCATCGTTTGAGAGTGTGATCATGGAGTACCATCGTCCCCTCTTCGATCTTTTTGCATCATTTAGCATAGTCAACCATACTACCATATCAAATACCCTTTTTCCTCTGTTTTCCATCTTTATTGGAGTGTCCTTAATTCCTTTCATGTTCCCCTAACAAGTTGCAGCCAATACTCCTCCAAAATGCAATGTCTTTCTCAAAAAAACCCATACCTGACCCCTTTCTTTTCCTCACTTACATACCATCTGTCTTTAGGCATGTTATCAGCTTCATGAGTGTGCTAATGGCATTTGATCTATCCTAATTCCATGAACACACCTGTGATGCACAAGATCTTCTCCAAAAATACTTCATACGATGAGTTTGCAGCTTCTTTCACCTAAGTTGGCAATGCTGGAGCCAATATCAGTAATGCCCATTATAATCTGTGTGCCTGCTACATGTCACCATTCAGGTAAACAGGTTTGTACCATCCTACGGCATCCTGAGCTGACCTTCACACTCTGTTCTGCAACACCTGGGATTGTTTCATTCTATCCCCAGGGTATCAGCCAATTCAGTTCATGAAATGTTTAGGCTTTTTTTGCAACTGTAGTAGCGGCAACATTTCTGAAAGAAATTGAAGTAAGGCATAATTAAAACCCTAACAAACCCTTAAAAATATGAGAGAAAAATTACTGGTGAAGAGAAAAAGGCTTAAATATACTAAAAGTTTTTAAATTTCTGAAATTTAATTTGTAAAAATCTGCACTGTTGTGCACGCACATATGCATTTTAAAAAAATCGGAGGTGAGCATGCATAGCCAGAATTTATCATTGGCTGGTGTCAGCAAGCACTTTCAACAATACTTTCAAATTGAATGTCATCTGCAAGCTTTGAAATGACACCATAGTCTGTCATGAACATATATATCAAGAAAAACAATAAACTGATTCCAACATCCGCAGTTCTTGCTATTTCGAGTGACTGAAAACGGTAATCTTAGTACTTGCAACCTGAGGAGCCCCGCTGCATGCCTTTTTATAACTTACTTCTGCATTGCACAAAAATAAGTGTCACTGTTTCTTCTTTGTGTATTTTTCCTTTGAAATTCATTTCACTCTTTTATAATTCTCAATTAAGAGACTTTGCATGCTTCCAGTTTAGACAGAAAAGCACAATATACAGTGCACCAATTGCACCATAACCACATGATAGCTCAGCAGTTACCTGCTGTGCAGTATCATAGTTGAATTAAGCAGAGACTGATTTTTTTGCTGATAATGTGTTGCCAGCTAATCCATGACACATTTGTGTTATAAAACGTGCAACTCACTCCCTCATGCAACAGCAATAGGGTTCCCGTTGTCCTTGCCTACCAGCCCACCAGCGTCCACACCCAGAAGATCATCAGCTGCCATTTCCACCATCTCCAGCGAGATGCCACTACCAGACACCTATTCCCCTCCCCTCCCCGCCCCTCCCTTGTCTGCCTTCCGGAGGGACCGTTCCCTTGGGGATATCCTGGTCCATGCTACTTTGACTACCAACACCCCCTCACAGCCCCAGGGCACCTTACACCTTCGGCAGTTGCAGGGGAACACCTGCCCATTTGCCTCCTCCCTCCTCAGTATCCAAGGGCACAAACATAGCTTCCAGGTGAAGCAGCACTTTACCTGCACTTCATACAATCGAGTCAATTGCATTCGTCGCTCACAACGTGGTTTACTCTACATTGGGGAAATAAAGCATAGACTGGGTGACCGAATCGCAGAACACCAATGTTCTGCTCACAAAAAAGACCCTGAACTTCCAGTTGCCTGCCACTTTAACACACCACTCTGTTCCCTGGCCAACATCTGTCGCAGGCTTGCTGCAGTGTTCCAGTGAAGCTCAGCGCAAGCTGGAAGAACGAGACCTCATACCATTTGAGGACCCTAGAGCCCTCTGGACTTGATATCGAGTTCAATAATTTTAGGGCCTAAACTCTCCCAAGTCCTAGTCCCCTACCCCGCAGACCAGGCCGCCTTATCACATAGCCTGCCATTACACACTACCTATGTTAGTCACTAACAATCCCCATTAACAGCTATTCACCCTCCCAGCCTGATTGTTAACAACACCTTTGGCTGCCCAACTCTTTGGGCTCTATTCCCACATATTGTTTACTTCTTATCCCCTCCCCCCACCCTATCTTCTGCGTATAAACTGACATTTTCCTAGCTACTATCAGTGCTGAGGAGGGATCATCAGACCCAAAATGTTAAGTCTGATTTTTCTTCACAGATGCTGCCAGACCTGATCTTTTTCAGCAACTTCTGTTTTTGTTTCTGATTTATAGCATCCGCAGTTCTTTTGGTTTTTCTGCAACTCGCTTGGTCTTCAGGGTGCAGAGAAGCCTCCCAAATAGGAATAGCTTATTGACAAAATTGATACTACTTTTTAAGAAAAAAAATTGTCCATGAGGCTTTATATTCTTCACAAAATATCTGAGCTGATTACGTCAGAGAAAGTCATATACGGTTCAGTGCATACGAAACTAGCAATGTTTGGGAAGATTTGGCTTGCTTGTTTCGAGGTGGATTTTTGAAAGCTTTTGAAACATTGAAGTTGAGATGCGAGTGGAAAGAAAATCTTGTTTCTGCTTCTACAATTTAGGGGTATGACACCAGCTGAAGCAGAGATGCATTTCTTGGAGAATGCCAAAAAACTGTCCATGTACGGAGTTGATCTGCATCATGCCAAGGTATTTCTTTAACATGTGAATGAAGTGAGTTTTGTCCCAGAACATCTCCTGTAAAAATTAACAAGTTGATTTTGTGTTGGAAAATATTCCCTTTCTTTTGAAGTAATAATGTATCCCCTTCGGTAATGATTATGAACCAAATGACTAAAGCAACTCAGAACTGGTTTCTGGGGATAGAATTTTATGCCAGCTGATATGAAATCTTTTCCAGTTTTCAATTGTAACATAATGGAAAATAGCAGGATTTATCAAGAAAAGAATAACAAAAGCTGAACAGTGCTTATGATCAGTCAGATAATGCATCAGGTGTACTGATATAAGAATTAATAGATCAACAAATGTTTATTTTGTTCTCCAGCTGAAGTAACAAATCACGTATACTCATTCGCTGTAATTAACCTTCCATTTCTATCTGACGATTTATCACAAAAACAATACTGGATACATTTAGGTTAAGTATTGAACATTAGATATTTCCTATTCATATTCCTCTACTGTGCAAAACTGAACACTTGTCTGAAAATTGCACAAAGCATACAATCTATATGTAAATACGTTGTGTATAGATCATCTGACACATCACTTTCTAATCCTACTCACATAACCATTTAAAGTAAGCCTAGAAGTTGAAATGTTTTTACATGTACAATCAAAAGATAAATGCAGCTTACTGGGAGAGTATTTTTAGTGTCAAAGAATTTTCTCTTACCAGTTGGATGTATTCAAATCTCTTTGAAAGAAATCCTCATTGCTTTTCCTTAACTTGAAATGTGCATTTTCCTCAACAACAAAAAAACTCCTTCCATTTATCTAAATCTAGAGATTTTAGGGACAAGTTGGCACTGGACAAGATATTAAGCCTTGAGTTTATGTCAAAGCACCCCTGGAGCTCAGACATTAACTGTGTACAGGTTTACCAGCACTAACAAACCACTTGGTGCTTTTCATAGTCATACAGTATCGAAACAGACCCTTTGGTCCAACCTGTCCATGCTGACCGTAATCCCAAACTAAACTACTCCCACCTGCCTGTGCTTGGCCCATATCTTTCCAAACATTATTTTTAATTATGTACTTATCCAAATGTCTTTTAAACGAGATCACAGCACAGAACAGACCAGGAATTAATTCCGAGATCTTGCTGGTATTTACGGTTCTGTTCTACACGGTCAACTGGAATGTGCAAAAATATTTAAAGATGTCGTATGTACATCTCTGTTACCATGCAGAAACACCTGGCCTTTCTTTGGTACATGAGGTATTTTGGAAAATCTCAGCAGCTCTCTTAATGGCTTAATTTGAGATGGGAGATCACGTGATACGGCAATGTTTCTACTCCAGTCGAACTCTGGCAAAATTCACTAAAATTCTACATCTGGAATTTCTACAGGATTTCCCTTTGTTCTTGGAGAACCTGCTGGTCTACTCAAGCATTGACTGACAGGTTTACTTTGTTTCAGAGTTTGGTCAGAAGTTTGGTGAAAGAAGTAGGTTTTAAGAAGTGGCCAAAAGAATAGATATGAAGGTTTAGATGTAGAATTCTAGGTCTCGGGGCCTAAACAGAAGGAGGGTCGGGGAAAAAAAAAAAAAAAAATCACTGTCCAAATTATTTACAACAAAAACAAAGTTGCTGGAAAAGCTCAGCAGGTCTGGCAGCATCTGTGAAGGGGAAAAAACAGAGTTAACATTTCGGGTAATTATCTACGTGGCCTCATCTTAAGAAAAAGTAGCACCTAAAATCTAACTACCTCAGATTTGTAAAATTATTTACCATCTTCTAGTTGAAATTTTCTCCCCATAACAGAATTACTGCCGGAGGCCATTTAAAAAATTCTTGAATTATTTGAACACCAGCAAAAGGTATTTATTTAGCTCCTTTTAGTGTGGCACAGAACCCTTGGCAAACAAAATTTGGCACCAAGCCACATTAAAAAGCTATTAAAGCAGTTGATGAAAAGCTTGATCAAAGAGATATGTTACAAGGAACATCTTAAAGGAGGCAAGAGAAGTAGCAAGGGTGAGTGATTTAGATAAGGAATTCAAGAACTTAGGTCTTTGGTAACTGAAAGTATGGTTGCAAGTGATGAAGCGATTAAAATCAAGAATGTTTGGGAGACCAGAGTTAAATAAGCGCTGATACCTTTCAGGGTTGTCTGGCTGGAGAAGGTCACATAGGAAGCAGAAAGACCATGAAGAGAGCAGAAAGCAAGGATGAGAATTTTAAAACTGAACAATGAGTAACTGAGAGAAAATATATGTCAACAAGAGTGGCGATTGAATGGGATTGATACCAGTTGGATATGGGGAGCAGTAACTTGGATGATCTCAGGAATACAGAGGTTATTATATGGGAGGCTGGCCAGGAGTTCTTGGTATATTTAATTACAGAGATATCAAAGGCATGGATAAGGCATTTCAGGAGTCCATGGGTAAAGTTGGACCATGTTATTGGAGCTGGAAATGGTGGTGTGGGCATGTGATCAAGAGTACATCCAGGGGTCAGATATAACACTGAGGTTGTGAGTCTAGTTCGGCTTCAAACTGTCGCTGGGAGAAGAGTGTAATCACTGACTGAGGAATGGATTTTGATTGGGGCGAAGATGGTTTTATTTATTTTGCCCATCTAGGTTTTTGCCTTGGATGTATAGTGATCATAGTTTCGTTTTAGATTAAGTGCCACTCATTTGTCACAGTAATTGTAAAATAACACAAAGTTTCATGATATTCTCCTGATCAACTGCCAACAGATCAGATTTGGCAGACAGACACACAAATTGGTTTTCTGCTGAAGTGGCGTGTGTGTGTGTGTGTGTGTGTGTGTGTGTGTGTGTGTGTGTGAATCTAGTGCCCATGATTGTTGAGCTAGGGCTACTCCTGTTATTGCTCCAGTTGCACAAATACAATGGAGCTGAAGCTGTATCCCTGCTGACCCTGTTCCAAAGTTTGAGCCATTAATAGTCTCAAGGTCTGCACGTAGCGCGTATAAGGGCATAACAGCGACGTGAGCCTCAGATGACACTCGGTATATCTGGATGGCCTCTGCCATTGCCAACAACTGGAATTCACCCTGTTTCCCTTACCACTGGAAAAAATCATCGCAGAATTGGGTTCCACCTTCCAATGTTGAGATGCTCGATTTAAGGCTAAACTTTCAGGCTCTTTGGTTGTGCGTTAAATATACTTAGCTGTGCCAGAATATTGAATGAAATTGTCTCCCATTGGGTGAAAAGCATTCTGTCAGAGTATTTTTCTTTTTGTTTTAAAGGATTCTGAAGGAGTTGATATCATGCTTGGTGTGTGTGCCAGCGGCTTGCTAATCTACAGAGACAGGCTAAGAATAAACAGATTTGCCTGGCCCAAGGTTCTCAAGATCTCGTATAAAAGGAATAACTTCTACATCAAAATCCGACCCAGTGAAGTAAGTTCAAATGTGAGGTTTGCATCTCCTTTGTTCACTAATTAAATGTAGTACTTTGTAAAATTACAGTGATGCAGATACCGTGCTGTTGTAACATGCAAATTCTACATGGTTAAGAACTGACAGTTCTGAAACCTCAGAGCTCAGAAGTGTTAGACAAGGCTCCATATTGTATCTATTCAAGTGACTCTGACTTTTTAATTTTTATTCTTGTCTAATAAGAAGGTAGTATTCCTCTCAATAAGAATTAAACCTAATTGTCCGCAGTTGATCAACTTAGATCAATGTTGATTTAATCTAACTAAAGTACACAAAATATTGGATCAAACAGCCATTTAATCCTGTTGATTATTTGGCCCTTCCATGCATAGGAACTTAGAGAAACTTCCTGTTGCTGCGTTAATAATCAACAACATATTAAATAGCTGAGAGCACCCATTTTAACCCTTCCATGCCTTACTTTACACCTATCTTACATCTTTACTTCTCTTTCACCTCCAATTAGCAACCCTCTCTCTTTTCCCCCAGGACTCTAGACTATCTGTTCCCTTTGCCTCTCTCTGTCAAAAATATAAACAAAACAATTTTCAACCCTTTTTGATTCTGAAAAAGAGTCATACCAGACTTGAAACATTAACTGTGTTTGTTCTCTTCCCACAGATACTGAGGCCTGAATTTCTCCAGCATATTCAGCATTTTGTTTCTTTTCAGATTTTCAGCATCTCCCATATTTTATTTTTATCAAAATAACCTGCTTATAGTTCCTTTACGGGGGATCAGTTCTAACAATGGTTTTATTTTTGTCTCCAACAGTCATTTACTGGTATGATGGCTGATGTTTTAAGATAAAACCAAGAACTGTAGATGCTGGAGATCTGAAAGAAAGAAAAACACAAATCTCTGGAGAAACTTAGCAGATCTAGCAGCATCTGTGGAAAGAAAACAGCGTTAACATCATGTGATCCTCCTTCAGATGTTTTAAGATGCTGAGTGTTAAAGATGGTCAGCAGTGTAATGTTACTTGAAGCAATAAAGTCTTGGGTGCAGTCTAGATATGAATCATTTAATGTAAAATATGTGGAAAATTTATTAATCATAGAATCCCTATAGTGCAGAAAAAAGGCCATTCAGCCCACTGAGTCTACACCAACCCTCTAAAGAGCACCGCACCCAGGCCTATCCCCCTAGTACCACATTTCCCATGGCCAATCCACCTAGCCTGCACACCTTTGGACCGTGAGATGAAACCAGAGCACCCAGTAGTAACTCGCGCAGACAAGGCAGGGGAATGTACAAACTCCACACAGACGGTTGCCCAAGGCTGGAATCGAACCTGGATCCCTGGTGCTGTGAGGCAGCAGTGCTAACCCCCATTGCCCAGGGAAGGAAGATAAAATTAAATTTTTGTGTGGTATATCTGTTTAAAGTGATTTTTTTAAAAAATGCTATGAAATGTATGTGAACCTGAAACATTGAGCCCATGATGCACTGTTTCTTTGGATCTACATTATTAGCAAATACACAAATATCAGACTGAAAAGAAATACCTTGAAAGCTTGTTTCCAATGGCAGCTCGCCCAACAATGGGTAAAAGACACAACAGTGTTGTGCAGACAAAGTACATTTAGAACAAATCACTATAGGTACAGTTTGTAACTTTTTTTTGCATTCCCCAGTTCAATGTCACAGTCATTCTGGAATGATGCCTAATCTTTTGTTTAAATTTTGAGTGGCTGAGTGCTGGCCTTGCAGTTTGCTGCATTTTAAAACCAGCTGCCATTGCACTTTGTAATAATAGAGCTAATGGTAGATCGCTTTTATGCTCTAGTGAGTAGCATTGTTAAGTTTTGCAATCTAATTTGGTATTTTGATTAACCCAAGTAAACCAGATTTGCAGAGTCTACTGTATACTGACTTGAAGCAAGCAAGCCTTCACCTTAGCAGAAAATAAAAATGTGCTATTAAATTAACTGAATATGTCTCAAGTACAAATCTGGTTCCATTTAAATGTTATTATCGTATGTTGGATCATATTGCTTAAGAATTCTCACTTGCACATTTGGACTTCATTAGTGGATGTTCATAAGCCCAAGTACCTAGGAAATGCTGATGCAAACCTGAATTGCTTAAAGCACTTTTGTTCATCCTTTTCGAAAATGGCTTTGAGTTTATCCTCTGTGTCCTGGTGTGTACAATTCAGGAAAGTAACTTCAATTTCCCTCCAAAACAAGGATAATGTAAAAAAAGAATACCCTGAGGGGAGCATTGCTATCATCTGTAGGCTGTCCTTGTGCATTAGATTAGAGTTTTGGTGGGAGCCAGAAAAGTGCCTGTAACAGCGCCCTCACAAATGAGGACAAGCTCAGCTCTGGAGGACACCAACTCTCATGGTTGTCCCTCAGATTGTCGGGCTTTTTGCCTTTAACTGTTCATACTCTTCCACAGCCTTTAGATGCCACACAGGAATATGTTTGAAGTGGAATAGACTGGCAGTTACACTATAATTTGCCAACTGTAGAAATATGGATGATTTTAAATTCTGATTAAGTTGCACTGAGCCACATGTGAGTAAATAACTTGTATGATTGGTTCTGGGGAGATACTAGGCATGGACTTGTATCCTCATTTGGCTGCAATGTTTTGTACAGTTTTCTCACAAAAGCGTGACACTGTGCTTTTTCCTTCCTAGCATGAGCAATTTGAGAGCACCATTGGATTTAAACTTCCCAACCACAAAGCAGCAAAAAGGTTGTGGAAAGTATGCATTGAACATCACACATTCTTTCGGTAAGCCCGACCTTGAACCTTTTTAATATGGAATTGACCCGATAACTGGACTTAAGGGGTTAAGTTATGAGAAGAGATGATACAAATTAGGCCTTTTTTCTCTCGAATTTGGAAGGTTAAAGATAGAGGTCAAGATATTAACGGGACAAGACGGGGTAGGTAAAGATGAACTATTTCCGCAACTTGAGGATTCTAGAACTAGGGGTTATCATCTAAGTTAAGGGGCAGTCTGTTCTTTTTTTAAGTGAGCGTGCGTGTTACTGAACTAAAACAAAAATGGACACAGCATATTTAGTGAACTTTCCTAATTTACAAACTGCACTAAAACAGAATGTGCTATGGGAACATTTTAAACAGGGGATACCTATATGATAAAAATATATTTAAAACAATTGAATGATGAGAAGAAAGACACCTCGTTTGCATTTAGAGAATCCCAAAAAAATTCCTCTTATTCCAAACCATATTCAAGGTGGTCTTCCCTTAGAGCTTATCAATATGGTCCCTGTCAGGTGGGAAGTGGAATTTTAAAAAGTGAAGTCCTGCTTAAGCAAGATCTCCAGGTCTTCCCAGCTGCTGTATCTCCTTCCTTTCTCCCCACAATAATTAAGACCAGTGCCTTTATTAAATGATTAATGAACTGTATGAATACCTAGACTAGGTTACAGCTGCTTTCTTTTATTCATTTCTAGTCATCATGTCACAGCAAATGCAAAGATTACCATTCAATCCAATAGCGTATGACCAATTGTACAAAATTTGCCAAGCAGCATTGCATCATCAATGAGGACAAGGGTTTTGACTTTAAACAGGGAATTGAAATCATGGTGAACCATCTTTCGATAGTGTGCGTGACAAAAAAAAATTCACGTTCAATACAGAATTTCTTCATTTATACAGCTGTTTTTCAGGTAAACCAATGATTTCTATCTTTATAGGCTGGTATCTCCTGAACCGCCTCCTAAAAAGTTCCTCACATTGGGTTCAAAGTTCCGCTACAGTGGACGGACACAAGCCCAGACTCGGAGAGCCAGCTCCCTCATAGACCGCCCAGCACCATACTTTGAGCGTTCTTCCAGCAAACGTTACACCATGTCACGTAGCTTAGATGGAGGTAAGGAAATCCAAGGACTATAGCCCGCAGCAATGTGGAGTTTGTTCATTCGTTCTTTGGAGACATTGTTTGCCTGAATTCTAATTCGTTCAGTGTGAAACCTCTATTTGAACAGTGGAAAGAGATCTTGATGTTCTTCTTGACTCTAATTTTGTTCCATTTGTACGTCAAGCTTGGATTTAATGAAGAACATAGATTCTGAAATTGCACTAAGCAGTATTAATTTAGGAATACTTACCGTTTTCTAAAGTAAATTGTTGAGCCATTTATTTTAAATGGGTCTGCATCTCAACTAAAATAATGTAATTAGAGAAGATAGTATAAAGTCTTTCTAATTACAAGTTATTGTTTGGAAACATGTACAACAATAACTTCTGCTTAGAAAATTGTAAATAATTAAGACATCCCAAAGCAATTTAAAAAGGAATAATAAAGAATTGCTTTTGTCCCGTTTGAGAGATGATGGAACCGTAGCTTGATAATACAGAAATACAATACAGCACAGGAACAGGCCCTTCAGCCCACCAAGCCTGTGCTGATTCCTTTTTCCTTATTTAGACGTGCTTCTTATTGCCCATACAGTTTCTATCCCTCTGTTCGCCTCTCGTTCATGTGTCTATCAAGATAAGTCTTAAACTTGGCTCATGTACCTACTTCCACCACCTCCACTGGCAGTGCATTATAGGGACCCACCACCCTCTGTGTGAAATATTTGCCCCTCACTTCTCCCCTAAAATTTCCCCCTCTCACCTTGAACCTGTGCCCTCTTGTAATTGACCTTTCTACCCTGGGGGAAAAAACCCTCTGACTATCCACCCTATCAATGCATCTCATAATTTTGTAGACTTCTATGGGGTCGGCCTTCAGCCTCCATCTTTCCAGTGAAAACAATCCAAGTTTAACCAAAACTCTCCCCACCAGGCAACCTCCTGGTAAATCTCTGTATCGTCCCTAAAGTATCCACATCCTTCTGGTAGTGTGGTGACCAAAACTGCGTGCAATATTCCAAATGTGGCCTAACTAAAGTTTTCTAATCTGTAATATAACTTATCAACTTTTATATTTGCTACCACAGCTGATGAAGCCAAGTGTGCTGTGTCACTTCTTGACTACCTTATCCAGCTGCTTAATGAGTTCGGCTGGGTGGTTCGTGGCTGTGATTTTACACCCCTTGTTCTAACTGGTACTGGTCACCTAATGGGACAACATCCTTCCATTTAATGAGGCTGGAACCAATCACTTATCTATCCTTAGGCATCCTCTTACCAAACTGTTTTGGATGGTTGATTGCAAGGCCCCACATTGACCTTGAAGTAGTCTTGTTCCAAGGTACCATTATGTTTCACTTAAATGTTAGAGCAGGCTGTCCCATTTTGTTTAATCCTTGTTGACTATTTTGTATCTTTCAAATGTGGGCCGCCCTTGCATCACCCATTTCCTCTGGCTCCGCATATAACCTCCCTCCTTTAGCCTTGAGTGGGCCTACTCTTTCCCGAGCTACCCTTTTCCTCATAACATATGTATAAAATGCCTTGGGATTCTCCTTAATCCGCTGGCCAAGGACATTTCATAGCCCTGTTTCAGCTCCTTCCTGTTTTCTCTGTATTCTTCAAGGACTTGGTCTGTTTTTAGTTACCTAAAGTTTGGGGTATGCTTCCTTTTTGTTTTTGACTAAGCTGACAATTTCCCCTGTCATCCAAGGTTTGCGAAACCAACCATTCCTGTACTTCATTTTCACAGGAACGTGCCCTCCACTCTAATCAACTGGTCTTTAAAGGTCTCCCACATGTTATGATGTGGATTTAGCCTCACAGCAGCTCCCAATCCATGTTTTCTAATTCTTGCCTAATTCGGTTATAGTTGGCCTTCACCCACGACGTCCATTCTTGTTCGTAACCATATGCAACAGCAAACTTATGGAATTATGATCACTTCCCAAATTGCTCCCCCACTGAAACTTTGATCACCTGGTCAGGCTCATTTCTCAGTACCACGTCCAGTATGGCCTCCTCCCTCACATGACTATCCACACACTGTTGCAAGAAAATCCTCCTGACACATGTAACAAATTGCTGCCCATCCAGCTCTCCTGCACCAAGGGAGTCCCATTCAATATGGGGGAAGTTATAATCACCCACCACAACAACCTGCTATTTTGACATCTTTCCGGAATTGACTACATACCTCTTCCTCTGTCTCCCACTGGCACCTGGGAGGTCTGTAGATTGCACCCTTCCTATTCCTGAGCTCTCCCCATAATGCCTTGCTGCAGTATTTCCCCTTCTTGCACCCCCCCCCCCATATAGCTGTGATATGCTTCCTTATCAGTAATGTAACTCCCCCATCTCTTTTGCTTCCTTCTCTGTCTCGTCCAAAACATCAATATCCTGGAATGTTAAGCTGCCAATCCTGCCCCTCTTTCAACCATGTGTCTGTGATAGCAACAACATCATAATTACTGCATTAATCCAGTCTCTAAGTTCATCTGTCTTGCCTGTTATACATCTTGCATTGAAACAAATACAGTCCAAACCTCCAGTTCTGCTGAGCTGAGCAACCTCTCCCTGACTGCTCTTCATGTAAGCTATATTTTTATTAGTCTCAAGCTCTTCCACAGCCCCTATACTTAGTGACCTGCTGCTCCGGTTCCCACCTTGCTGCTGCACTAGATTAAACACTCCCGAGTGGCCCCATCAAACCTCTCTGCCAGCGTATTGGTGCCCTTCCAGTTTAGGTGCAACCCGTCCTTCTTGTACGGCCCCCACCTAAGCTGAAAGGCATCCCAATGATCCATGTATCTGAAGCCCTCTCTCCTACACCAGCTGTTTAGCCATGTGTTCAGTTGTACAATGTCTCTGTTCCTAGCCTCAGTAGCATGTGGCCTGGGAAGTAATCGTGAGACTGGTACCCTAGAGGTCCTGCTTTTTACTTTACTGCCTAACTCACTGATTTGTCATTGCAGGACCTTGTCACTCTTCCTACCTATGTCATCTGTGCCAAAATATACAAGCCTTTTGTTTGTTTACCCTCCTATTTCAGGATTCCCTATACCTGCCCAAAGGCATCCATGACCCTGGTATCAGGGAGGCAACATACCATCCTGGAGTGTCTCTCGCAGCCACAAGAGCACCTATCTCTGCCCCTGACTATCAAATCTCCAATTGCTATTGCTGTAATATGCTTTGTCCCTCCCCTGTGTACAGCACTGCCTGCTTTATGCTGCTGCTGCCACGAGGGCCAACCCTCTCAACAGTATCCAAAATGGAAAACTTGTTTTACAGTGGGACAGCTGCAGGGGACCCCTGCATTGACCGCCTGAACTGTCTAGCGGTCACCCATCTATCTTCCTTGACCATGTTTCTGTAATTTCTGTCTATGATGCTCTCTGCCATTTGTGCACTCATTAGTGTCTCCAACTGCCGTTCCATTGGTTCGGTGAGCAGCTGAAGCTGGGTACACTTCCTGCAGATGGCCGTCAGTATCCATGATTGACCACATCTTGCAGTTGAATCACAAAACCCACCAAATGACCTGACAAACCCCCTACTGGCTGTTGGTTAGAAAGTAAATTTTAATTAGCTACCTAAAAATGACAATTGTTACTTTCTAACAAATAGCGCCCCCCCCAACTTACTCACTCTCTGAACTACCTGTACTAACTAGAAGATGAACTAACTGTACTAGTCCTTTAGAAAGACTGAGACACACTTGCACTGTCCTGCAGTGAGATTCTGTCACCTGTAACACCAAGGCAATGAACGATTTAAAGATGGGTTTCAAGGGCAGTTATTAAGGAGGACAGGGAAGCACACATATATAGGGGTTTGGGAACAGTTTTGAAGCTATCTGATTGAACTGTTACAAAGATATATATTAAAAAGAAGACTGGATGTACAGCAGATTGCATTTACAGCATGAGAGAGTATTAAAGTACAGATATACCTGGAGGACAGCATAGAGCAGAGATCAGAAAGAGTGGGGAAAGTGACAAATGGGACTTTGCAGGGCAAGATTTTAGGACACTATTTTGGACAAATTGGATTTTGTGGAAGGTGTGAACTGCAGAATATTTATGGGAAAATTGAAGTAATTTAATCATTTAATCCTGTAAATCACAGAAGTGTGGTTAACCTCGGGGGTGAAGTTTTTAAAACAAAAGATCATGCTGGAAATCATAAACCAAAACACAAATTGCTGGAGAAAGCTCAGCAGGTCTGGCAGCGTCTGTGGAAAGAAATCAGTTAATATCGTTAAGGTAGATAAAATTATGCATGTGGAAATTGGCTGACTCAAAGTAGGGATGCTGGGTTGAACATGCATCAAAGTTAAAGGCAATTTCTACATGTAGATTACTCTTAGCACATATAAGTGGGTAATATCAATGGGCAGAGGATTTTCTCATACAAACTGAAGATGATTATGGTTTTATTTTCCATTGAGAAGTAGGCATTGTGCACTTTGTCATATAGTACTTCACTGTTGACTTTGACTACTTCAGCACTGTTGATGAGTAGAAATTTTACAGAAGTGATTAGATTGGAGGCTTATGAAAAAGTTGGGAGTAGAGCTGAGTCGTGACATTGCAATTGAGGCTCTTTGAAGAGGAAACATAGGATTTGATGCAACAGCAGGTCAGAGAATGAAAGGATTAAAATTAGTTTTATTTTGAGAGGAGGAGTGATGATATACGTATTGAAAAGGAAAGACCTCATGCCATTGGAAAGGAAACTACTGGTGTTGACTGCCATGGGGGCCAGTAGGAGTACTTGAATGGGCTAGAGAAAGAATCAGCGAACCTTACTGAACAAATGGGTTAGTGAATATGCAAGCATAAGAATTAAGAGCAGAACAGGCCATTTGGTCCCTTGAACATGCTCTACTATTCAGTAAGATGATGGCTGATCTGTTTGTTTTGAATTCCACGTTCTCATTTACCCCGATGATCTGTGATACTTGTGCCCAAAAAGAATCTCCACCTCAAAATTTTAAATACTCAACCTCCGCCGTCTTCTGAGGCAGAGTTCCAAAGTCTCATAAACCTCTATGGAGAAAAATACATTCTCTCCAACTTTATCCTAAAATTATCCTAATTTTTAAACGGTGCCCCTCTGCCCTGGACACACCCACAAGTAGAAACATCCTTTGCATATCCATCCTGTCGAGGATATTTGGGATCCTGTATAGCTCATCCTTTGCTCATCTGAATCCCAATGGAAACAGCCCAACTCTGTCCAACCTTTCCACATAAGGCAACCCATTCATTCCAGATATCAATCCAGTAAAACTCCTGTGATCTGTTTCCACTGCCTCCTTCCTTGAGAAAGGAGACAAGCCTGCACATGGTGGTCAGTATGTGCTTTGACTACTGCACTGTATACCTGAACTATAACATCCTTACTTTTATGTTCAATCCTTCAGTAACACAGAACATCCCATCAGATTCCTTAATGCCCTGTTTATGCCCACTCTTGCTCCGTGTCATTTACCAGTCATCATTCCATGCTAATATATTCTCCTAAATCCATGAGCCATTATTTTGCCCACTCACCTCGTGGCACAATATCAAGTGCCTTTTTGAAGATCCTGGTGCACTTCATCTACTGGTTCCTCTTTATCTACCTGACAAGCCACTTCCTCAAAAACAAATTAATGTAGTTGTCAAACAGGACTACGTTTGTCGTTTTAAAAAAAAACCAACACTTGTTCTAAAGATACTATACTTTTCAAAGTCCACTGTTAAGACTTTGTTAACAGTACATTCCAGCATTTTCAACACAAACTGGTGTCAGGCCACCTAACCTGTAGTTCACTCCTATTGTTCTTGAAAAGCATTCTAATGTTTACCAACTTACAATGTGTTAGGGCTGTTCACGATTCAAAGGAAGTTTGGAACATCACAGCTAGCACATTAGCATTCTCTGCAGCCAAGCCTTTTGGAACCCGTGGAGTGTATACCATCAGGTGCCAGGGAGTTGTCACGTTTTCTTTGTTTAAGCTTCTTCAATAATTTTTCTCACTAATTATCGAAGTGTCATCACTTTCTCTTTTTAGCCTGAAGATTACCCATTGTTTCTGGTTTGCAACTTGTGTCGTTTGCTTTGAAGATACGAACATTCAACAAACCCATCTTCCAGACTGCCCTTGTGAATTTGAATGCCCCAGTCTATTTTTTTTATATTGAAGACCCCCACAATTATTACGCTGGAACTTATAACAAAAGGCAATAGTTACTTGTTTAATGATTTGTCAACTACCATTAGTGGGTATATAAATCACTACAGTGTTTTCTGATATTTGTTATTCTTAATAACGAGCCATTCTGATTCTAGTTGATCATCTTTCTCATGAATGTCCTTATGTCATCTGTTTCTATCAGGGCTACCCCTCTTTGTATCACTTTTTCTGAAATAATTTGTACTCTGGAATAATCCAGTCTGAACCTTTTTCACATTGTAACTATGTCTCTGAAAGGGTAATTAAATCTAAATCTTCCTTTGTGCCAATAATTTCTATATCTTAGTATAAATATTTCATGCATTCAGATGAATGTACTATCTTTAGTATAGTCCCCTCTATTTACTTTATTCACCGATGGGTCGGTGCTGTTAACCTCTTGTCCATTCTTGTCTCACCTTGCTTGCCATTAGCCACTGCCCTGTTGTCTTGATCTTTCTTGTTGGATTTCTAGAGATACCATCAATGTCCCTTTACCCCAGGAAAAGAAAAGCAAGTTAAAGAAATTTGCAGTTTTGTAGGTGTCAAGCCAGATGGGAGTTTCGAGGATGGGAAGTTAATAATTGTCACGGAGCTAGGGAAGAGTAGAATCTTTGTCCCAAAGTACACCCACGTTCCAAAAGTGATTTCCAACTGACTGATTATTTTTGGGTCTTACGTGTAACATTTGTATCTCGTGGCTGGATTTCAAGGATGTTCATGAGCAAAATTTGCCAGCAACAAGCTGCAGTATTTACATGGCTGAACGTAATAACATTTGCAAATTATGGTCAGGATAAGTTAATCGATATCACACGTGCCTGAGAAGGTGAAGTTTACTCTTTTTAGATGGAACAGGAATAGGGAGGGAAGATAATTGAACTTAGAGTTGTAGTCATGACTAGAGTGCAGTCATAATGCAATCTATACCTTTAATGTCAAACACCTCCATCACATTTGTGTGATGCATTTCCACTGGATTGGAGTGCTTTTTTATATTTGAGTATCCATTCAGCAGCACACTTTAATCTGCCAAACGAGTAGATTTGCTGTAATTTTTTAAACCCAGGACAAGACAGTGAAAGCAAAACCAGTCCACATTATGCAAATTCCAGTATATTAAAGAGATGTGCAAATGTGATTATTTACTGTTTGTTATCAATCACATCTTTGCAAAGGCAGGCAAACTGGTTTGAGGTACAGATCAGCCATAATCTAATTGAAAAGTGGAATATGGGTCATATGTCTCTGTGTAATGAATTTTTTTTTGTTTTAGCTCCTTTATTATAAATTTCTTAAATGACTCTGAAGCTGCTGCAGACAATGCAGACAGTAGCACTGTGAACATAATTATTTCTGTTTCCCTTTTACATGTCCTGCTGCTTGCATGTTTTATCATTTGATTATTATTCAACATTGATCTACAGGATAAAGTGAATTTTCCTAATCACGTAGTATTTCGCACTAACAATGATCTGACTTCACTCTTAGGCTTTTGCTGTGCTTGGACTTAATCTGTTTTGGATTATGCATTGTGTACAGTCGAGATACGTTATTGTGGTTTTCTAAATGAAACTGTTTGAAAAGTTGGTGACAGTCTCAAAAGAAAATTAAATGCACTGGACTGTTTTCGTTTGGCCCTTCTAGCCTGCTCTGACATTCAGCAAGTTCATGGATGACCTGATCATGCTGTCCTTTTCACTGTCCTTGCAACCTCAGCCACCCAAAAACAATCCTGACACCATTATTTATCTAACTCAATCACGAATAAATGTGATGACCCAATCTTTCTGCGAGAAAAAATTCCAGGCTAATGACCACAGCAGCCTCCAAGCACTGAGGCTTATTATTATGTTGTAATTTTATCATATTATTTCTTAGTGCCTATCAGCTGAGACCAATTGACTCAGCAGAGACTGAAGAGTTCTGTTTTTGTTTTTAAAGCATCTGTCACTGAGAACCACGAGATGCTCATAAAGGACTCCGTTTCAGCTTCTGAAGTGGCGACTGGTCATTACGGTGCAGTGAAGAGCCTAGCATCAACCAATCTAATAACCACAGTGACACCAGAGAAGAAAGCAGAAGAGGAGAAAGCAGAAGAAGAGGAGAAAAAGGCAAAGATTGACATTACTCCATCAGTCACACCGGCCAAGCATGAAATAAAGGTAGTGTGCTTTGGGGCATGAAAAATATACTGATGAGAAAATAGGCAAATGACACATCTGAAAGCCAAGAGAGTTAGACTATTATTGGAAATTTTGATAATTAATATGAAGCTAATTAGATTAGCTTTGCTCCAACGTAAAAAGCATGCTAATGCTTTAGAAGTAGAAGTAACTGTTTGCATTGTTGCTATACACCGTTTCAAATGAGTTAACAGTCGAACAAAAACAATAAAATGAGGAATTTGATATAAGTATATAAACGATAAGCCATAATTTCTCATCTATTGATTTGTTAATGCAGTTTTTTTTTTAAAAAAGACATCCATTAATCTAATGTTGGAACCAAGGAAGAATTTGCATTTTTGAGAGTTTGATATTACTAGGCTATTTTTAATTCCACAAATAATTTGATAACAAAGGAAATGTGTGTTAAAAGGTCTGACATTAAAGCTCAAGTTTTGTTGCCATTTCTTGTAAATCCTTGAAGGAGTAAATTTCCAAAAATTTCCATCAAAATGTTTTGTTGAATCTAAGGGGCACTGCATCTATGTTGTTATTTGTAGTCATCAAACATGCGTACAAAACATTTGGCAGTCCTTAAATTTTGATCGTTCCTTGGGTACCAGATGAACATTTATACTGCTAAAACTTCCAGTTGGTTTCATGTGTCACTGCAACAGAAAGGGAAAGATTGATAAACCTCAGAATTTTACTTTTGATGTTTGCAGATTTGGCCAATAAATGGTGGAGCTGCTACTTCATTGTGTTTATTGATACAATAAGTGTATCAGAATATCATTTGTAGGTGTTTTCCCAATCAACCTGTTCAGAGATGTAATTACACATCTCTGGAGCTGGTGCGACTTGAACCCAGACCTCCTGGCTCAGAGAGGAAGGGATAGTAAACCGTGCCACAGGAGTACTGAACAATATCTATAATTTATTTCTTTGAGAGAGATTATCTTTACAGGTCAGAGATAGTAGGAACTGCAGATGCTGGAGAATCCGAGACAACAAGGTGCAGGGCTGGATGAACACAGCAGGCCAAGCAGCATCATAGGAGCAGAGAGGCTATGATGCTGCTTGGCCTGCTGTGTTCATCCAGCCCTGCACCTTGTTATCTTTACAGGTCCCAGACACACAACCTCGTTTAGTGCATCTAGGCAGTGAAGTCTAGTGTCTCAGTTTATCATTTCTCAAAAATGACACAGGAAACATCTGGAAATAGGTCACTTGTAACATATCTTCTGGAGAGCAATAAATGGCAAAAGAGGAAGAAAATAAACACTTTTTTTAGAATAAAACAATCACTTTGTAGTTGTCAGGTCTTCTGACCCATCCAAATGCTTGCTTATAAGGTAGACAGAGTAAACGGAAGTCTTTATTGTCAATCCTTGAGTAGAAGACCATGCAAGTTATTTAGGTCCTTTGAGTGTAGTTTACTTTCACCTTGCTTATCCCTACTCTTCTGTACTGCTTTTTTTAAAAACGTCTGGATAATACTGTTTGAAACATTAAGCATCAGCAAGCAGCTTTAGCCTTTCAGCACTCTTCATTCCTCACTCCTCCACTTCCTGTGTCTGTAAGATTCTCCATAGAATCGTAGAATCCCTATAGTGTGGAAGCAGGCCATTTGGCCCATCAAGTCCACACTAACCGCCCAGACCCCAGACCCAAGTCCCCAACCCCAACCCAAACCCCGTGATCTTGCATTTCCCATGGCTAATCCACCTGGTTGGCACATCCCTGGACACAATGGGCAATTTAGCATGGCCAATCCACCTAACCTGCACATCTTTGGACTGTGGGAGGAAACCCACGCAGACACTGGGAGAATGTGCAAACTCCACACAGACAGTCGCCCGAGGGTGGAATTGAACCTGGGTCCCTGGTGCTGTGAGGCAGCAATGCTAACTACTGAGCCATGGGGCCGCCCAAAAAGTGAGACAGCCAGTCTGAACCAAAACTAATTAAACAAAGCTCTGATCCCCATAATGTTTCAAAGTAAGTAGAATGCAGCAGAAAAATCAAGATTTATTGAGATAACCAGCTTTTATTAAATTAATATTAGAGTTGTAATTCAGATCCTCAAAATGGATTATTCTCTTGTACCTAGACATAAATAATCATGTGGGCAAACACATGGTAAAGTAGTGTTTGTGAGATTGAAAGATAATGGAATGTGCTGCATTTTCAGTCCACTTTTAAGAGTCCATGGGGGTGAAAGTCACCCTTGCAGGAGTGCAAAATGGTCGCTGATGCATCGGCAGTCTCTTACACCCCATCCCATTTTGTTTTCCATTCGCAAAATGTAATCAGAGTGGAAAATGGGCTCTGAGTGTTCTATCTGCCATTTTGTGCGTCTGCTGAAGACAGTTTGCATCCCCATGTGTCTCTTTGCATTGATTTGCAAACAAAACTGCAAATTTCTCTCTCAGGAATGAACTTAATTATAAATAAAATAGCAAGTTCAACTTCTTGAAGTTACTGTGTTTAATCCAAACCATATTTAAAATCCTTTTGCCCCTTCCTGCAGGGATTGAAAGCCGTCTTTCTTTGTTTCTTTGTTTCATCGTTCTCTTGGCCCAAATCCACATGTTTTTGGCATTAAAATTCCTCCTTAATCTCTTCACATTGAGATCTTATTTGATGTGGATTCTATACTTGATTTTCTTCTGCATTATAATACTTGCAGGAGTCAGGATCCATTCCCTATGACTGAAAATGACCTATAATATAGTATATTGTGAGAAAATATAGTTCACTTTAACTGCAAGAAAGTAGATTATTTGACTGTAGAGAAACTAGAGACTGCTGTACTACAGGGAGACCTGAGTGACCTTAAAGATGAAGTACAGAAGGTTAGCATTTGCATTCAGCAAGTAATTGGGAAAGGAAGTGGAATCATGGAGCCACACAGCATGTAAACAGATTCTTCAGTCCAACTCATCTGTGCCAACCAGACATCCCAATCTGACATAGTCCCATTTGCCAGCATTTGGTCCATATGCCTCTTAAACCCTTCCTATTCATGTACCTATCCACATGCCTTTTTAAATGTTTTAATTGTACCTGCCTCCCCCACTTCCTTTGGCAGTTCGGGCACCACCCTCTGTGAAAAAGTTAACTGTCAGGCCCTTTTTTAAATCTTTCTGCTCGCAATCTTAAACCTATCCCCTCTAGTTTTGGACCCCCTCAACCTAGGAACAAGAGCTTGGCTTTTCATCCTATCTATGCCCCTGATGATTTTATAAACCTCTACAAGGTCGCCCCTCAGCTTCCGACACTCCAGGGAAAATGGCCCCAGCCTATTTGACCTCTCCCTACAGCTCAAACCCTCCAGTCTTAGCAACGCCTTCGTAAATTTTTTCTGTATCCTTAGGTGACTAGAATTGTACACAGTATTCTAAAAGTGGCCTCACCAATGTCCTGTACAGCCATAATATGACAACCCCACTCCTATACTCAATGTTCTGACCCATGAAGACAAGCATGCCAAACGCTGCCTTCATCATCCTGTCTACTGCAACTCCACTTTGAAGGAACTATGCACCTATACCCCTAGGTCTCTTTGTTTGGTAACATTGTGTGTGTGCGTATGTGTGTTTGTGTTCACTGGAGTTTCGAAGAATGAAAAGTGGTAATATTAAAACACCAGGTTATCAAGGTAGATGCTGGAAGAATGTTTCCTTTTATGGAGGTATCTAGACCTGTGGATACAGTTTAAAGAAGAGGTTTTCCATTCAGACCGAGGTATGGATAACTATCTCTCGTGACAGTCATTAGTCTTTAGAATTCTCATCCACACAGCAGTGGAGTCTGGGTCATTTTGATGTAACCAAGGCTGAGATAGACAGATTTAGATTGGCAAGGGTATTATGGAGGACACAGCAAAGCAGTAAGGTTGAATCAGGCATGATCTTATTGAATAATGGAGCAGGTTCAATGGGCTAAATGAATCATAGAATCGTGGACAGCACGGTGACTCGGTCATTAGCGCTGCTTCTTCACAGCGCCAGGGACCCGGGTTCAATTCCACCCTCCGGTGACACTCTGTATGGAGTTTGCACGTTCTCCCTGTGTCTGTGTGGGTTTCCTCCGGGTGCTCCGGTTTCCTCCCACAGTCCAAAGATGTGCAGGTTAGGTGGATTGGCCATGCCAAATTGCCTGTAGTGTTCAGGGATGTGCAGATTAGATGGGTTATAGGGGGATGGGTCCGGGTGGGATGTTCTGAGGATTGGTGTGGACTTGTTGGGCCAAAGGGCCTGTTTCCACACTGTAGGGATTCTGTGAAAGGACCTGTCTGCCTATTTCTGATCTTGTCATCAATTGTCATTATTTTGACAGAGAGTGACAACTATGGTGGCAGCAAAGTAACTACTCATCCTATTAACTGAAATTAAAATATGCAGTTCTACAAGCAGTCTAGAACAAGCCATGTTCTGCTACTTACTTTGTAGATTCATTCGTAATCCACGTAATTGAAGCCCTAAACAGAATTGATGTATTATCTCCTATTGACTGAAGACATAAACTCAAATTATTTATAATTCCACAACTCTGGCAGTACTCAATTTCTAACTAACTAACTAATTTTCAGCAATCCATCTGCTGCTGTAGTATTACATATTGGTTCTGTGACTTTAGAAGGGAAAAAGAAACTTCTAATGTGTTTTTTGCCAGAACAACATTTTCCACGTGTTCGTATTTTGATTTCTTGCACCCAAGCAAGAATTTTGATAATTTTTGTGCTTCCCATATATTCCAAAAGCTGAAATATTCATAAAATGAAATAAATAGATTTTGGAAGATAATTTTTATGCACTCCCCGCACCCCCCCCAACCCAAAACAAACTTTGTGGGACGATGAATTGTGTCACCCTCAGCATCGTCCCTGTGGAACACTGCAACCACCTGCTTGGAAGGTTCCAATAGAAGCTTGGGACAAATCATGCTCTGAATAAGTTCCACTAATCTCTGTTAAGATAGGGGCTGGTTCTCCTGTCTTTGCCTTGTGGTTTGCCAAGTCTGGGAACTTAACTTATCACCAAATTGGGAATGCAAAAATGCTGCAACTTGGCTCTTTAAGCACTACTGTTTTGTTCTGAAGACTTGCTAACGGATCTATTAATAAATGGTGTAACACAGTGCTACATCTGCTAAATAGAAATTCCTTGAACGGTTAGGAAAAGCTTAAATATATCAGTGGGATTATTGCATTTAATTGAGTTCAGAAATTGATTCTCCATAAGCCAAATCAAAAATGGCACTATCTTTTTTGTTTAATTGGATTTTTGATTTGTTTTGATGGTGTGATGTTGTTTACAGATGTTTGAGTTGGAATTTCTTTAGACATGATGATTTTCATAATAGCACTGAGGAAACAGCATTTTAAGTACTTAGGGCCATCCCAAATTGTAGAGAAAGCAGTAATCTGCTGACTGAAACAGTTAGTTTTTGCGATGATGATGCTTCCAAATTGGTGTTAAGCTTTTTGAAAAAAAAACAAGATGCTGGTTATATGCCCAAATCAGCTCAGGACTGTACATGACATAGAGGGGGCCATGGAGGTGATGGTGTTCTAAGCTGCCTTTGCTGGTCACTATTCCACTTGGCATTGAAAATGTTTAACATGTTCATGTTAAGTGCATTTGACTGCTATTTTACCACTGTTAAGCCTGAATTTTAAATTCCAGGCCACTTTTGAGGTTGATAGGTGACTGAGCGAATTCAGAAATTGTTACAGAATCTAGGAAATCATAACCCTTAAGCCTCGTTTCAATTCGACTAGCTAATGTCCCTCCAATATGGGTAAAACGAAATTGTGAAACTATCTCATTCTGATGCTGAGGAGATAGTAGGAACTGCAGATGCTGGAGAATCTGATATAACAAGGTGTAGAGCTGGATGAACGCAGCAGGCCAAGCAGCATCAGAGGTGCAGGAAGGCTTACAGGACTCTCAAGAGGCCCTGTAAGCCTTCCTGCACCTCTGATGCTGCTTGGCCTGCTGTGTTCATCCAGCTCTACACCTCGTTATCGCATTCTGATGCTGTTCAACAACAAATAAGATTGGTTGCCAGGACCATCTTGCAGGCCTCATCAGTTACTGTTGGAAAAGTTACTGGGGCAGTTTTAACTGCATACAAATCCATTAATGTAAATGGGTTAATGCCTTTCTTAAAGTAATGGACAGAATGATTTTATGTGAATGTTTTAAACCACAATTATTAACCGTATCATTTCATCGGACAGAAAGTAAAATCTTTTCTTTATAAACTTAAAACATATAATAAATAATTAAAGTTCATGAAGTAAACAAACTGATGTGAAACATGATGACAGTAGCATTTAGCACCTCAAAAAATTGACTTTTTCTAACAACATTTGTGTTGGTAAAATTGAACTGTGCAGAAATAAGAAAAGGTTTACTCTTAGATTCTTCAAATTTTCAGAGTTTCTATTAACTTGTGGTTCTGAATCAGAAGGCACCTCAAATTTGACAAAGATGTGTTAGAATGCTTCCGTGTTCTGCATCCCATATTTCCAAATCATGTTTGCCAATTATCATTTTATTTTAAATTCCCCTACCGTATCCTGCAAACCCTTTTTGAACTCCCAGTGCTCTGCTGTTTTCATCTGTGATTCCCAGTAGGGCTTCATGCATAAATTGGATGTGCATTGAATTGTTTGGGTGCAAGAAAGGTACTTGGTTTGAGCAGCATTAGAACAGTTCCATCACTATTTGTCATGTAACTAGAAAAGGGGGGGGGAAAAAGAATCAACAAGATGAAATGCAAAGATAAATTTGAAAATCAAATGGCTCTGTATAAGCCAGAGGCAATTAAGCAAGATGAGATTTAATTATAAGTTAGAGGTAAACATTTGAAATGAAGAATTGCACAGGAGGAAATGGTAAATCACCAAAGAGAGAGATTCAGTAACAAAGTGATTAGATGGTGGTAAATATAAAACAAATTTCATATAACATCCAATGCCATAAAAATTGCTGTTGAAAAATATTTAAGCAAATTACATCAATTCAAATTACCTTACCAAAGTGTGTGTGGGGCATCTTGCAATTTAGCATTTCTGAGTCTCAAAAATGCTAAATATTTCTGGTTAGCAGAAGCTCTGAAGTTTTAGAAGACCAAATACAATGGGAATGCATTAACTAATAATTATCTTTTTTTGTCTTTTCTTTGTTCCTGCTCATTTCTGTCGCTCCTGGATCTTCTGCAATTTCCTTTTCACACCAACCCCCTCATAGACCTCATTCTTTGGCACAGATTCATTTTGCTCTTCCTCTCGCTCTCTGCCTTTGCACTGTGACTCTCCTGTGTCATCAACAAGCGTTCATAGGAGATGTACAGAGAATGTTTCAAAATCAGCTGGTCGCATTAAGACCAAAGACCCCAGAAGTGCTTCTAATCCACTATTAGCCTTTGATTCTTCAAAGTATGTTGATAAGAAAGCAATGGAATTTAAAAAGGACCAAGATCTAGGGCCTAGATCTAGGAAAGGAGGAACTTTGTTTTCGTTCTCCTTGCATCTCCCAGCATCATTCTCTTTGCTAGATGATGATGGCTACCTTACCTTTCCAAGCTTCTCTGATGCCAGTTTCTTACCTCAAAGTTTCCAACGTTATCTGCCCATTCAATCACCATCACTTGTCCCCTGTTTTCTTTTCATTTTCTTCTTTCTGCTCTCCGCCTCCTTCTCTGTACCTTACGCTCTCACTCTCTCCTTCCCCCTTGCTATAAGTCTGTGCTACCTGGAACCCAGGGCAGCCTCCTTGAGCGCTTCAGTTGACAATGACCTGAGTGACAGTTCAGAGGAAGAGGTGTGTACCTCGGCCTAGAACACAGCTCTTTGTGTTCAGTGCTTGGGTGTCCTGCGCAATGTTCAATGCTGCAGCAGTAATCTTACTTTCAGAAACTCATTGCTGTCTTTTCTTGTTGTTAAAGCTATGTTTCAAAGAGACATAGCTGTAACGTGACACATCAGATTAGACAAAAAGTTTTTGTATTCGCAGATGGAAAGAAGTCTCTGGAAAAACAGGTCTATTCTTCAACAGCTAAGAAGATTGTTCACCTAGTCATAGTGGAAAAATATGAAGTAATTGGCGTCTGGTACATAGTTCTTGCTCTTATAAAGATGTAAATTCTTAAATTGAATGAGGTCATTCAAGTGGGCCATGCTGGCATTTCCCTATGGGTTGTTTGGAGCCAGTTTGATAGGTCAATCAGTTTAGTTTCTCTGGTGTGAGACAGCCACAATCTCATTAGTATTACAGTAGTCTATTTGTTCTTCAGTGAACCTTATTCTGCTCAGTGAATGGCTCAATATGTGTAGAAATACCAAACATCAAATGCCTGATTAGTCACCTTTTAAAGACCAAAATGCTTCATTTTGTGTTTGATAATAGTTTCCTTAAAATTATGGTTGTTATCTCAATGACATGCTTGATGTTGTTTTGAAATACCCCTGTTGTTGCTTATAAACTCCTATTTAATATTGAATTTGAAGATACTGTGGTCCCCAGGGAAAACAGTGTCCAGGAACTGTCAGCATGCAATTCTCTATATGTGACCTTATTCAGTTATATTTTTTCTTGACTTATTGTAGTACAGAAAGGTTAAATGAAACAAGTTTTTTTTTATTAAAAGCTAAACCCTGCTTTGGAAGTGGACAAATGAAAGACAGAAAATATGGCATAATTTTGCAGGCACTAAAACAGATTGAGGAGTGTAGATTAGGTTAACTTTGATGTAAGTTTCAGAATGAAAACTTGGTGTCTAATCTCAAATCATCCTCCAGAGTAGGCGTTCTCAACCTTTTCTTTTGCTTTTGAGCCTTTTTTCCTTCTATTATGAAATTCAACAGACCTTCTGTAGTACAAAAGAACTGTCATTGACAGACTCCTGTTATCAGGCCATTTCAGCTGCAAATCTATAAAAACCCATGGCAGAAAATCAGATGCTTCACTACGGGCTCACTTCACAACACTGGGGGGAAGAAATATCAACATTTATTTCTAACCATATCCAACATGAGTGGTGTCCGTGGATTTGGACCCAGGAGGGGACAGAATGGCCCGGTGTCGTTATTGCTCGACTATTAATCCAGAAACCTGGGTAATGTTCTAGGGACCCAGGTTCAAATCCTACAATGACAGACAGTGGAATTTGCATTCAATATGTGAAACTGTTGTCAATTATTGGGGAAAAAACCATTTGGTTCACTCGTGCCCTTGAGGGAGGCTGCCATCCTTACCTGGTCTGGCATCCACATGAGTCCAGAACCACAGCAATGTGGTTGGCTCTTAACTGCCATCTGGTCAATTAGAGATGTCCGAGCCAGCACTGCCCACATTATGTGAATGAAACTTTGTAAAAAAGCTTTCAGTTGTCGTGGGACAATTTGATCACCTTCTCTGGAAGCAGCTGCCATGGGGAGATGACAGTATTATTGCTGGACTGCTAATTCAGAGACCCACCTAATGACCTGGGTTTGAATCCTCTCATGGCAGATCGTGGAATTAAAAGTCTGTTGATGACCAAGAATCCATTGTTGCTTGTTGTAAAAACTCATCTGCTTCACTAATGTCCTTTAGGGAAGGAAACTACCATCCTCACTCGGCCTGGCCTACATGTGACTCCAGGCCTACATGTGACTCCAGACCCACAGCAATGTGATCAACTCTCAACTGCTCTCTGGGCAATTAGGGATGGGCAATAAATGTTACCCTACCAGTGATGTCCTCGTCCCATGATTGAATAAATTTTTAAAAAGCCCCAGGTGGAACAGAAGCTGGAGTCACCTGAGCAATCAGTTGCACTGAGCTTTCAACTCCAGAATCACCTGAACAGATCAAATCTCAGTGACCCTGTTGTTTTACTCCACAGTTTTTAAAGTGGCAGGCAGGAGAGCATGCACCTGTTGGGAAAAGGACTACCTGCCAATTGCTGTCAATGTACAGGGGGGAAGTGAGTGAAGCAGCGATGTCTCCTGTCCTCCTCCACCCTCCTGCATCATTGGTGCCAGCAGTAGCACCTCAATCGAATCTGGCACGGAGAGGATTGAATCGAACTCTTCGAGGTGGCCTTTTTTTTTTTTTAAAAAATAGCTTCTTTCACAGTCTCTTCATAATGAATCAAGGGCTGTTGGCATTGGTAGTATTTTTTAAATTTGTTGTTATTTACCCAATCCACAGAGTGGTATTTTCAAAAGAAGGTTTTATTCTTGTAATACCTGATTTGGCAAAGCCTTTACATCCTTCTCACAAACCACTGGTTGAGAACCTCTCCTCTGGAGCACCCTGAATTGGCTGGTAGTGAAGTGTATATACATCGATGTGCATGTTTGTATTATTCTTGGAAATATATGAAAAGTTTAAACTAGTGGTCATTGTCTGGTCCAGACTGCATGTAAGGATCGTTCAATGAATGAGGGTCTGTTTGCATCATGACCTATCTGTCTGTACAATAAGGAAGGCACAAACCAGAATTGTATTTGATTCAAAGCCCCTATTTGACTATATTATATACTCTTGAGCAGAAATTGATTTTTGTTCTTAATTTACTAGGGAATTTAGTGTTACAGAATTTTTCAGCTATCTCGGTACATGAATAGGAAAGGTTGAGACGGTTATGGGCCAAACGCAGGCAAATGACTCTGTTGTAGTTCATTGAAGAAAGGATGATAATTTTGTTTTGGGATTTGAAATCTGAAGATTTATTAAGAAAAATATTTAAGACCAGTCTCCTTAATTTCTCACAAAAGATGGCAAATGGAAAAGCTTCACTATGCTGGTGAATCATCTTAAAGCATAAATTTGTGATGTTGTTAGTAAAGTCAGAACAGTAGCCCTTTAACAGACTTTAAATATTTCTTTGACTTCCTTTCTCCTTCCAGTGAAACACTAGTATCTTGCTGTAACTTGGCCACAATTCTAATTTGTCAGTGTTTCTTAAGTATTAATAATTAAATGGTCTTTGAAGAAAATATTTGTCTCTGTTATCACTATGAAAGTTACATTCCTGCAGTAAATGATTTAGAAAACTAAGGGGAAAATAAAGCATTGAATTTGAGAGTGTAAATTGCAGTACTCCTATTTTTTTAATGAAGCATTGCATGATGTTGTATGATAGGATAAGATGAAAATGCACAATTTCTTAAAATAAAACATAGCACTTAAATTAATTCGGTGACAGCACCACATGGATCTATACCCATCAAACAAACTTTCTGAATAATTGATAATGAGTTCTTATTTTAGTCTTCATAGAGACTTAGCCAAAAGTCCTAAAAATATGATCTGCTGGTGTAAATTGAGCTGTTAGGATCTCTGGACAGTTTGACTATTATTCTGTTCATATAAATGCTGCAAGCAGACCTGTATATGATTATGCTTAAAGAAAGCAATGGTACACACGAGGGCCTGAAAGTTAGGCTGCTGTCACATGGATTGAAAAGAGTTCCTGAAATAAAGTTTTTTGCTTCTGGTGTAAATGAGTTGCATTTTTTTCAAATTAACATAGTTAGTTACAAAATTGTCACTATGTTTGATTTAAACCAGACCAGATCAATTTTGTATCTCAAAGTCACATGAACTCTGAAGAAGATAAATGGGCATTTGTGACCTCATTGATTCCCCATGCAGTGCGGACAAAAGCATCCCATTTTGCTGAGCTATAATCTGTGCTCCAAAGCCACCTTACATGTATCCAATATAATTTCAGCTAGGTGATGTTCATGCACCACTGGATACCTTAAGGAGACATTCAGCCCCTCCTGAACACATACAAAGTTCCAAAGGTTCCTTAGTTCCATTTTAAGATCCCCCATCATGAATAGTTCAAGGTGAGTGGAACATGTTCTGACTATGTTCCTCTGAAGTTTGTGTGTTCTTGCTGTGGCTTAACCAGCAGTCCTTAAAAGTGAGTGCTGAAAGCCAGTAGTAAACAACTCTTTTTTTTAATTTGTCATATTAGCTAGAGTGGCACCACAGCACTTCTGAAAGCTATTTCTGACCTTCCAGAATAGAAACCTATTCTGTTCCTCTTCCCCACTTTTTGAAACCAATTGAGGGACATTGCCATATCACAACACCCAAAATCAGCGAACTTCCTTTGAATGCCCAAGGAGTGTCCATAGCTTGTTGGCCCCTAATGTATGTCTGAGCATGCCACTTATTTTGGATTTAATCCAATTTCTAGCTCTTAATCCTGCTGTGCTGTACAATGTTAGGAGTATAACCATTTAAGCTTCAATTTTATTAAAACCATATAATTGTACGATTAAAACTGAAGGATCCTTGGTACATTGCTTTATATACGTACTGTTCTTCTCTCTGAATGCTACGCATTTGATTGTAGCACAGATATGGCCAAGTTGCCTTTAATCATTAGATTGAGATACATCATTGATAATTCAGTTCTGTGTGCTTTGCGCAGCCGTCAACAGAAGTAACTTCAATGTAATCAACCTCTGGCTTACTGTAGAAAAGGGATCCTTATTCCGTGCAGCTTATCTCAGAATTGGAATGGCTTTAAATTAGTTTTTCGAGATCCAGTGTTTCTAAATTTATTTGTGTAAGTTATTTGTTTACTGATGCTGTATAGTTTGACCCAAAAACAGTCACACTTACAGTAAATTAAAATGGGACTGAAATATCATTTCTATGAGGCCTTTAAACAATGTGATTTGCTTTTATTGAAAAGCATTCAATCTTGTAACTTGCTATTGCACTTCTCATTTTGCCTTAAACCATTCTCTGAGCTTGTTCCACTTAATTTGTTTCATGCTTATAATGAGCCTTTTTTTGTCACTGAAGCTGATATGCAATAAGAGATGTGAGTAAGTCACCTTGCAATTAAGCGTCACTGTTTTGACAAGGCTGATGTATTTTTATTCCTGCTTTCCTACTGGACATCTTGGAATTTTGCTGACAAAATAGACTGACAGTGAGCAGACTGACGCTACGGCTCCTGCTGATGGGGAAACCACCGCAGAGGTTTGTACATTCCACCAGCCTGCATTTCCCATGGAAATGATCCTGATAATCTCGCTTGTTTGTCTGAGAGTTTTAACTGGTGCAGCTGTAAATTTGACATTAATGTAGCCACAAGATGGTGTACAGATTCATGTGAAGAAGTACCAAGTACAATGTAACAAAGCACTTATTCTATGATAAAATGGGAATTGGCAAACTAGGTCAGGGCAGAGTGGTTCAACAAGTCAGTGCACTGCATGAAAATTTGATCAGGAAGTCACAATTTATAGTGACATTAAAACCGTCTGTGTTTGTTTTTATTTCTTCGTTCATATGATGTGCCTTTTAACTGTAGTGTGATTTTTTTTATTTTTACTGGAAAGTGGGCCAATTTAGCTTAGTTAGCTGGATGGCTGCTTTGCCTTGCAGAGTCATGACCAGAGTGTGGGTTCAGTTCCCATATTGGTTGAGGTTACCATGAAGGATTCTTCTTCTCAGTCTCTCCCTATGCCTCATCAGTCATTCCCCCTGCTCGCGCTCTCTCTCTCTCGCGCTCTCTCTCTCTCGCGTTCTCTCTCTCTCGTTCTCTCTCTCTCGTTCTCTCTCTCTCGTTCTCTCTCGTTCTCTCTCTCTCTCTCGTTCTCTCTCTCTCTCTCGTTCTCGTTCTCTCTCTCGTTCTCTCTCTCTCTCGTTCTCTCTCTCTCGTTCTCTCTCTCTCGTTCT